ATTGTAGCTCAGTGAGCCCACTTTGATTTCAGCGCTAGTATTTTCAGCTACCATTGCTGCTGCCAAACCGCTATTTGTGTTCCTACCCCCGATTTTTATTGTGGTTAAGTCCAAACCAAAACCTCACAAAAACGTTCGATGAGGCAATTAACAAGTTCAATGGTATCTTTTGCTTCTAAGTGGATGTTGAGCTTAAATAACTGCAAACTGAGATTACAACTTTTCCGAACGTGTTTGGAATATCGCGTCTTTAAATATTTTGTGACCATTTCAATGAATGGTATGTATGCAGAATGTTTATAGTATACTTCACAGCTTTGAGGTGGCTGATGGTTTCGATGACTTTGGTGGCGACATGCTTGAAGTTTTCTTACTTCAACGTCGAACTAATTGTATTGCAATTTTGTTTATTTGATAAATTGCCTTTCTGCTACATCTACCACTCTAAAATAAAAAAAGCACTCAATATTTTGAAATTTCCCTTTTCTTAGCTGATTCTGCCACCCCTAGTTTTAAGTTAATTTTTTGTGCGATTTGCATAATTTTTAATGCTCATTAATTCGCGTTGGTACTTATCGCTACGTGCCAGAGCGAGAGTTTAGGAATGAATTAAAGAATATTACCTAAATTATTTTACAGTTCTAAATTTTTGCAAGGTACATATTGCTAAGTTAGATGGAAAAATTGCTAAATCTACTTTTTATGAAAACTAATATTTGGATATAGGAGGAAAGAGATCATTTTCTCTACGAAAAAAATAAGGTACTATTTTATACTTTTTTTCGTTTATATTTAATGAAAGGTAAATTTGATAAGCCCAAAAGAGGCACCGACAATCCAGTGAATCCAAAATGATACGAAATCGTTTAATAAAAATCGACTCCTTCTGAATCGTATGGATCTTTGATTTGTTTTGAACATGCAAAATTTTGTTGTAAAAATTATGCGAAATACTTGAAGAAAACGGCTATAAGAAGTTTTTTCCTCTCCTGTAAAATTTCTAAGAATGAACCTGCCAACGTTTTACTCTAAGCTGAAAATAAATAAATAAATAAAGATATAATAATTTGTTTTGCCGAAGTACCAGTGAAGCTTTACTCAATCGTCAACTATTGTAAGACGCATGAAGTCGATTACAGTAAACATCGTCGCCTGGACAAAAAGTTAGTAAAACTTTGTTGTAAGTTACATTTGTAAAATATTTTTCAGTCATTTTGTACGGCACACGAATAAATAACATACATTTTTTTAGCTAAAACAACGATACCTTTTACTCAATATTCCAAAAACTAAAAGAGATATCCAAAAATGGAATTAAAAGATTTTGATTAGTTTAGTATGACTGCATTACTAGTTAAACTCTTACTTAAGTAAAAGTTTAGCCAATACCTCGGAAATTAAGGGAGATATCCAAAAACTGATAACACCAATCGGACGATCGTATTTTAAAATCGTAAAATGCCAACATTGAATTTAAATTTATGAACTGGTGGCAACCTTATTCCGTCCTGTCGTTTCTGACATCTCGTTTTTGTAATTTGAGGTAACGGTGCAGATGACCTTCACAAAAAATGCTGTTGATAGATATTACTTTACGAATAGATGGCAGCCCTAACCAATTACTTTGCAACTAAATATGTCTTAAAACTCTTACGTTTGGCACTCATATTTTAACATTTAATTTAACTTGGTAATAAGTTAAATAAATAAATTTTCGTACAGGTGGCAACCCTCTTTAAAAGTATTTTCAAACTTAAAGCATTTTAAATCTCTCTTGTCTGGCACTGTGATACATACTGCAATTAAAGATGAGATAGATATTACTTTACAGCCTTAATCAATTACTTTGAAATTAAATATGTCTTAAAACTCTTACGTTTGACATTCATATTTTAGCATTTAATTTAACTTGGGTATAAGTTAAATAAATAAATTTTCGTGCAGTTGGCAACCCTCTTAAAAGTATTTTTCAACTTAAAGCGTTTTAAATCTCTCTTGTCTGACACTGTGATACGTACTGCAATTAACTGATGAGTTTAGTTGAATTTGATCTTTCCCATACGTGGCAACTCTCGTAAACACAGTTCAGAAATAAATCCCTTTCAAATACATTTCGCTTATTAAACTTTTTCGATAGGGGGCAACCCTCTTCAAACTTCTCAAAAATGTCTATATGTTTAAACTTAAAATTTCTCTGTTCTCGTTTTTTGACAAGCATATTTAATACTTCATATAACGTGTGTATAAGTTGTTTAAATTCGACTCTTAATCAGGTGGCAACCCTTTGAAAAATATTTCAACTACTACCTCAAAACTGTTTAGTGTGCCACCCATTGAGTGATAATTGATAGATAGTTGATTTGTTGTTCTAAATAACCTGAATCAAATTTTTTAAAAGGTGGCAGCCCTTTTCGAAAAAGTAAAACCTTATTGCACATCTACATGCCAAGCACTTTAATTCAACTTTTCATTTTTGAAAACGAACGAACGATGCGGATCTAATGGAATTGGTTACTAAATAATTTGAGTTAAGTTTTTTAAGAGGTGGAAACTTTTTCCAAGAAGTAAAACTTCACCTTAGTTTCCTTTCTCTGCATCTGTTACTCTTTACATAATTGTATTCTTAAAATAACCTGAAAAGAGATCTTTCGTTACATCGAAAAAGAAAATTCTACCCTCACGATATTTGGCATGTATCAGCGTATACGTACACCCAAAGAGTATAGAACTATTTGCTGAATGATAAGCCATAATCTTGTTAACTTCTGAAACTGAAACAGACTGCACAAATATCGGCTAATTACGTCACAGGAAATACGCTTGGTCGTCAGCAAAGTAGTAAGTCCTACAATCAGCAACTGATTTACAATTGAGTGTAAATATAGACCCAACTAGTAACTTCTACTAAATAGCAGTACAAACTCAGCCTAATGAAAACAAAGGATAACAGCAAAAGGGTTAAAATCACACAAACGGCCATAACGCAAAATTTGCTTTATTTCACTTTTAAATGGGGTATAATACCTAAATCTGAGTTTTGCTTGATTTCCCATTGCTTATTTATGCTATTTGTAACAAAAACAGTGTACTGACAGAAGGAAAAAGAACTTTGGTTATTCCAAAAATACAAGTAAACAAAAAATGTGATATAATTCATATGAAGATAGTAATATTCACAAAATATTTTTACTTATGAAAAGTCTAACAAAATATAGGATAAGAGACGTCTTTAATAACTGCTCAGCAAATGGGACATAGCGCTTTTACATGAATTTTATCTCATGCTCTTTTAAATGTGTTGAAAACATTGCTGGAAAACGTTAAAATGTTTGCATAGAACCATGGCGCAATAAACAGGGGAAGTTATAAAATAACCTTCCCGCTTTATTTTCTGTAATTCGCCTGTCTTATAGTCACATTTTATAGGCATGTTTTCAAATAAGGCAGTGTCAAAATATTTCTTCTCACTCTAATATTACTTCACCTGGTATAATTCAACCATGGGTGGGGTGCATGCAATAAAACCATACGCAATAACTCCCATTACTTGGACATTAAAAAGCAGTTTAAAAAAAAAATGTATACTTCTTTTCGGTATAGACAAATTAAGGGGGATGAGAGCATTAACATTCCGACTTTACATTTTTTTTGGATCACCCTAATGTACGCTGATTATGCAGGCAGCCTGGTTACGAGTACTCGCATAAGGATCTCTGAAGTTTATGTGAATCTATTTGTTTCTGTGTATATATATGTATGTATGGGTGTGTGTATAGATGCACTACAATGCAAGTTAGCAGAGCAATTGCGGCTGACTATAGCTGCTTAGCTGGTGTGGCAATTGCGGTAAACTTAGTGCAGTGCAACATTTGCTAAGACTTCGCAACAGTCACAAAGATTTTTAGAATGATGATTTGCACATTAGTAGATATGTAGCCCCAAATGTATGCAGGGAGGCAGAGTTAAAGTGCTGCATTGTCTGGCTGGCCTTGTAGTGGTGCTTAGCAACTGCCAAATGCCATCGATATTGGCAAGACTGCATTCACTCGCTCGGCAGTTGTTGTCATTGGCTTTATTATACTACTTGTTTTTGTAGGACGTAGTAGTACATATTGTTGTTGGCATAGTAATAGGAGAAGAGCACTTGCTCGCATGCGCATACTGAGCTCGTCGGCTTAGTGGTTTGTAATGCTGAGGAAAGCTACATATGTTGAAAACTCTATGATGCAAACCCTGACAAAACAACCACATTATACCGCTCACAAAGATATACAAATATGAGAACCCCAACGATTCGGATAATTGGTACAAGCACTGCCTAACCTCTTCGCGAAGTTAAATTTCTGGGTGCCAAACTAGGCCAACTATACGTGGAGAAAAAAGCGAAGAACGTTTAGGTCCACCATCCAAAAATACTGAGATGGATTTGAACGGCGATGCCACCATCTGGGTTGATACAACTCAACACTGGGGAGCCATGAATGCCAAAATACAAAGGATGAGAACTTGCCCAACGGCATTTTTAATAGTTCTTCTAGATCTCACACTTCTGCACATTGATCACATGCAGGCTCAGGCGAAGAAGGCTATAATAAGGAAGATATATTGGAGCGAGGTTGAGTTATCAGAAACCTATGGGAAGGCAACTCTTGATTTCCAGGCAGAATTATACGCTACAGAAAGATGTTTGCACTTCAATATAAAGTGTAACTACCATAACTAGAACACTGCTATCTTGAGGGACAGCTAAGCGACTAGCAAGGCTCTCAGTTCTAACAAGGTAACGATGAAACTGTGTGATTCAGTATATTAATAAGCTCCCGACCTTTATTCTGACTAATCGAGTTTGGGTTCTTTGGGTTCCGGTACATATATACGCTCAACGAGGAGCTGCAACTGCTTTCATTGGCTTAGAGCTCTTTTGCTGTCTAGGAAAGAGATTTACTTTACAGAGAAACAAGAGGACGAAGCTCATAGAAATCGTGTCTGGACCAATCTACCAAGCAAACTCTTGCACGAATGCAGGAAACTTTCCAAGAGAAACTTGAGCATCACGCGGTAATGCACCACCTTCAAGTGGTCCACTCGAATCTGGGTAATCATTTGGAAGACCCATTTTGTCGCGACCGCCATTAAGCATTTCTTCACGGGGTAGACAAATCAATCAGTCACCAGTCATCAGTGTGCTCTGCTCTGCGTTTAGACGAGAAAAGACTTCCGAATTCAACCGGAAGTGGGTTAAACTGACCAGAAGTCCATTTTTTAAATGGAAGGTACATGTGTTTACCACAAATTCGGTTTATGCGGACAAAAATACATAATTTTTTCAGAAACTTTTTTCTAGAATGGACTTTCGATAAAAAAATGAACTTCCGGTCTGTTTAAACCACTTTCAGTCGAAAGCGGTCTATAATAGGACGCAAATAGGAGCATCGCTCGGCATGGTGATTCACATTTTTTCGTTTTACAATAAAAACATTTTCATCCCTTTTAAAAATCAAAGGCAAGAAGAAGTTCCAAGGTAATTTGAAAGTTCAAAAATATACTGCCGATGAAAACGGTGTAGACAAAAGTTATGCGTTTTTATCCGCATATTGCGATTCTGTGGTAGCTCAATGTGTATCCAATTAAAAAAAATGCACCTCCGAACGACCGAAAGATAAAGCATACCAAGACAGAGTAGTTCATATTTTTTTGGAGTTTTCCAATAAACCACGTTTTGCTATACATATTTTAGAGGGGGTAGATGGGTGATCTAGAACACCCTGTATAATGTATTTTCTTTTTTTTTACATTTGAAATCATAACGTTAAACAGAGCTTCACGTGGGCGGAGCTGCGGGTAAAAGCTATATTAAATATTTCAGTATTTTGCTGGTGATGAACGATGACAGTTTTTCCCACCTAAGCTTTGGGGATAGAGTTCGAAGATATTTGTTGTCTTTGAACAAGACATAGCCAGTTCTACAAGGACTAAGAGTCCATCATGTCGTGCCCACGTACACATATGTAGATCTTGAAATTTAGTTAGCTTAAAATCTAAAAAAAAATGTATTTCTGCTAACACGAATTTAAAGTTCGAAACGCAGCCAAATAGGTAAAGGCGAGACGTTTTTACGGCTTTAATAATTCTAGTAAAAGTATATTATAAAATATTCTTAGAAAATATTTGTGCATGTGAATGCCATAGGTGGTGTTGCATGTCTATGCCTAAATTAAGGTATGGCGCAACACGAACGCGTTAGCGCACAAGTCGTCGGAGCGCCAAATTATAATAGCTGAGCTATGCAGACACATAGCCATATAGGCACATCCAAATATGCGGGTATGTATTTATGTATGCATGTATGTACTTGAAAATCTATGTGCGTGTGCGATTTGTTGGCTTGTTTTTCTAACTAAATAACAGTGATGATGCCACACATATGCGATTTTCTACACACACAAACATCTGTACGCTCCGCAGATTTTCCTTCGGAAAAATAGGCTGACAGCAATATGTCAATAGGCGAAAGGCAACATACGATATATATACATATATATATATTTATATGTATATTGTATTTACATATTTGTTCCGAGCAAAGCATTTATTTTTTTATATCTTGCTCGTATGTTTAGAAAGACACTTGGGATGTAGTAAATACAGTGCATGCAGTAAGTAGACTAAGAAGAGCAAAAAACTCTGCTTTTCACAAACATTAACACCTTTAAACGTCGAACAATGATCCCTCAGTGAAATTAGCGAAAGCAATTTTTTATTCAGTAGTAAGACTTCGACAATTTCGAATTACTCGCGATTCGCCATATATTTTTTCGAAATTTCGACAAATTGCAAAAGTAAATTAACGCTCCTCTTTCACATGTTAGCTGTGGCGTTGCGTGTAGTTTAAAGCTCACGGTTGTGCTGGCGCAGGCCCAAATCCGAATGAAGGTAATGTAGACGGTGTTGCCAAGTTTTGAATCTGAAAAAAGGTATCCAATTTTTTATTGGAGGATTTAATGGACTTTGTATGCATACACAATTTTATTGTAGGTATGCCGATTCAAATAAATAACAATTAATGTTTCTTGCGCGGCGGCCGAAGGTTCGTTATTCATTTTACTGTTAGGATATGCTGGTGATTTTTCAAATATTCGTAAAAAATCTAAAAAATTCAGCCCAAATAAAGGGTCTAAGGATCGATTCCTGGTCCCAGCCACATAGACGTTTTTGCAGGCAATATCAAATTACCGTATGTAATTCTGGTATGACTGAAAGTGCAGCCACATATGTTTTTGACAAACATATGCTCTCTCCCTTATGATTGTCATTGTGCCATGAGTTTGCTTCCAGTTTTGTAAAGTTCCTTACGAAATTTGCAATTGCTCTAAATTTAACTTTTATTTTTGTTTCAGATTTATATTTTGGTGTCTTCAAACTAAAAAAAATTACCGAAAAACGCACGAAGCACCAAACTCAAAAATGTTTGCGTTTTAAATTTTTTTGAATTAAGAAAGTCAATAAATTGGTTGCAAAAAGCACTAAGTTGGCAACAATGGATGAAGACTTAGGAGGCGATCCTTTTTCCTTTTTAAACTGGCCTCAGGAACATTAAAGTCAGATTTTACGATAAGCTCTTGTAAATTACTGCGGCCAAATGCCCTGTTATTTTGAATCCCAGTGTTGATTTCTGATGACATAGACTTGGGCAATATGTGGTTTCAATAGGACGGTGCCATTTGCAACACAGCGCATGAAACAATGGCCCTATTGCGAACACCTGCGGTCTTGTTGAATCACCCGATACCTTCGTCTCACAGACAAATTAGCCTCAGTTCCTTTCTGGATCATTATACAAAAGTATGATGGGTCACATAAATAGAAACTTCTGGAAATTTGAGGTACTCGTTGTTGGTAAAGCTCTCTGTAATGCAGGAAACCCACACACCAAACTCGTTTGGGAAGTTTGGTACACAGATTGATCTTATTTTTACCAATACCTTGTAACCCTACCATCGTTCAAGCGGAGATTCAGTCAATAGAAATTGCTGCAAAGAATGCCTTAGACGAGGCACATTCTTGAAATATATACATATATCTGAATTATGTCGCATAGTCAGGCAACCACACTGGCGCTGAAGGCCCACAAAATAACTAGCCTATATATGATTGCTTCAGTGTCTTAAACATGTGCTCTTAGTATGATGGTTCTGCTCCTCATTGAAGCTGGACATTTCCAAAGAATTTGATCTACTCTTTCCTGTTAATTTTCTTTACTGCAGCTTGGGTCGAAAATCACTATTTTTTGATCGGATATTTCTCATCAGGAGAATTGCAGTAATAGTACCCACTGGTTTATTTAACCATTTCTCAATATAACCTATTTTTTATAGGCCCCTAAAAAACCGAAAATCGGATATTTCTCATCAGGAGAATTGAAGTAATAGTACCCACTGGTTTATTTAACCATTTCTCAATATAACCTATTTTTTATAGGCCCCTAAAAAACCGAAAAAAATGCAATGGGGTATCGCCCATTTTTCTTTTTCACATGCATTTTTGGACCACCCCATTGTAGACTGACCACATCAGTTTGGATATACGGCAGCCTGTCGCCATGCGCCTCCTTTTATCGGAATTCCGAAAGTTGTGCAGAAAGATTTATTTGAACGTGCTTCCCATTGGTCGTGAGATCCGATACTCGATCGAGGAAAAATGTCCAGTCTCATTTGTGGGAATATTGCAATGACCAGGGACCTAAACTGAATCTAGGTCGAGCTGACTACCCTGAAAAAGCCAGATATTTTGTAAATGGTTTAAAACAATAACATTATTTTTTTGGTTCTTCTAAAAAAATTCGAAAATTTCGCACAGTTTAAGTGGTTAATCTAGGAGCCCTCCCCAGGTACTGAAAAGGCTGGAAGGCTTTCATAGCTCATTTCAGTGAAGTTACCCATATTGTATGCCATAACCAGATTTCCTATCGGCTCAATGCAGCGAGGAAAATGGAATTCTATCGCTCCCTCACTGTCCTTGATCTATTTAACGATAGCATTTCATATCAGTGATATGGTGTTTCCATTTTACAGGCAGCTTATAGTTGAAAGCAAAAATCACCTGGTGTAAACGGCCTTTCAACTAATAGCTTCCAACAAAGTTGCGATTTTGACTCAATTAATCGCCTGCAAAATCGCCTCATGTAAACATCGTAGAAGCAATAATCTTCGGCAGCCTTGACGTTTCTGAAGTTTTCCGAATGCATCCGCAAAATTTTTAGCAGCTGGAAAAAAAATAATCTAACACTTTTTCCCCTTGCCTCAGATTTGAAGAACTTTGTGGTTTTGTGCCACATAAAATTTCGCAAATCGAATCAGCTCAAAATTGGCGAAAAAGGAATACAGAGTTAAGCAATATTCAGTTCAAGAGTAGCTTCTTTTAAAAGCAGAATTATGCCAGACAGCCCTGTTCTGAATTCACTAGAATGGCTCCAGTTTGAAACTAGCGTGAAAATCGCACGATGGTGGCACACCTATCTTAGAAAATGCATTATTTTTAGTTTTGCGTAAAGAATGAGATTTCAAGTCGAAATTGCATTTAAATGAAAACTTAAAAAAGATATACTAAAAAAGGTCAAAATAACAACTCGTGCCCTTATACTCGCAGCTATGATGTAACGTATACGCCCCGTGTCACCATACAAAGGTGGCTAACACGCTTTAACTTAAAACTCATATTATATAAAAGTAATTAAATATTGGCGTGGAATATTTTTACAGTATTCTTCATAATATATATATTAATTTCTTCATGTATATAACAATTTTAGAGTGATTTTCGAGTGTGCCTATAAAAATGGTAAAATTGGATTTTTTTTTGCAAATCATCATCATCTTATAATCATAGTGATTTTTGTTTTCATTTGGTGGCACACTAGATTTATTTCTCTAGATTGATTCGTTTTTCCAAGTAGAACATTTTTACATTCAATGCTGACATTTTGAAGTATCTTAAAGTAAGTAATTGAAAAAATCGTTAAATTTCAACAACTACAAAATAGCTGCGACAGATGCATCCATTTTTTCAATTTGGTGGCACGCTCTTGAAACTTCTCTGATTTGCTGTAATTAAAAACTTCCCAAAGTTATAAAACAAGCAATT